TTAAGAAAATTTCATAACTAAATAGACAAATAATAATAATAAAAAAAATTAATCCTGCTATAAGACTCCAGAAAAGTATGTCCATGTACTGTAAATGTATGCACTGAACCCAGGGTCCGTCTGCTTAAATTACTGCATCAAGAGGATGTAGAATTTAGATATTTGTTAATATTTTCTTGTTAACTATTCTCCTTGGATTCTATCTGATGTAGATCAGCTGAGTCTGCAGCTAAGACAAACCAGGGACAACATACTCCTTAAATCAGGTACTGGTGCTTTCAGCTGTGTGAGATAAAACCAAGGTTTTTATTGGAAAATGAGAGAAGCTCCTTTATAAACATTATAAGCAGAGGGAAGGACAAAGTGCTCTAAAATGATCTGTTAGCAAATGTACTGGTTTTGTACTTGATAAAACACAGTCTCTAATTAACACCCACAGATGACTTTGCTCCCCATATCATTACTGAACGTGATGATCCCGGCCAGCTTGGATTCTAGACCTCTAAAACGGTCTCCAATCTCCAATACTAGAGATGTCCCGATCCAGGTTTTTGCACTTCCGATCCGATACCGATATTGTTTTTGGACTTCCGATCCGATACCGATACTGGCCGATACCAGCCTATCCGAGCATGTATTTAAGTTTAAGTTAAAGTATTTAGCCTTAGTTGTAAGACTCATGTTGAAAAGGGTTTTAGTACTCTTGATAACATCTAGCCAGCTAAATTAGGTGAGATTGAATAAAACACAATGCTTGGTAACAACAAACTTATCTGTTTATTAAGAGATAAACACAAACTGGACAAAATTATGAAGAGCAATCTGAAATTGCACAGTGAGCAGTAAAACCGTAAACAGTTAAAGGTGCAAGTATTACTGTAAGTTTTAATAAAAATGCAAAACAGGGGAACACTGGCGCAAAATAGTGGAATGGATCGTTTCAATCGGCGAAACTGGAAAATACGGACCAGATTTTTTTTTTAAAACTGGATCGGCAGTCTGGATCGGCATTTTACATGCTTTGCCGATACGCATTTTTTTGCCAATATCTGCGTCCCGATCCGATACGTGGATCGGATCGGGACAAGCCTATCCAATACAGTTGCAAAATAAATTGATGTGGTTTGGCTTTATGCAAGGATTGCAAATGTTGTAGTTCATATCCTGGCTATGTCTGTTTGTTGACTCTTGACAATAGAAACAGTCAATGACTTAAGAATCTCCCCCAAAAAACGATTAGGCCATTTTTAGCTCCTTCCTTCCAAAAGGTTTTGGGTTTTTTGTTTCTGCTGTTCTTTGGGCAAGACGTTTTTCACCCACCATTTTTTACTTCACTCAACTTCCTTTAACCCGGGCATACACTGCGTGAATTTTCAATCTTTTCACGCTGCTACAGCTCAAACTGTATGACTAAACCGCAGGCTAACGATGCATGTTCAGCATGACGCTCTAATGCGATCTACCTGCTCACACTGTATGTCTAAAAACCAACTTCAGACTCAGCTCCGCAGTGAGATGGCGCTACTCGGACTCGTCTATCCAGAAGCCAAACGAGTAGAAGAGGAATGTGAAACTCACTAGAGTGAAACGCTGCCTTGGCAATTTGTGCAATTTTGTGCTGAAAGCCCTAAAAAGAAAAGGCGACGACATATTTGGACAAAGAAATGGCTGTGCAAACTTGGCTACTATGGTCTGTCAATTTTACAGAAAGAACTCCATTTCACTCACACACCCACCAAGCTTTTGTGCTTTCATCTGAGAGGAAGAAGAAGAAGAATCCTTGTTTGCACATACCCACTGAGCGATTTGCCCACGACGCTCGTGGTTTCAAACATGTTTGATTTTCTCCCAACCTAATGATTCCTGATTGGGAGCTGGTCGTGAGAGACTGATAGCCCCCCGTTACCCCCAGTACACTACGTGACGCACAATCAGGCTGAAAGTCGGCCTGATCGAAAAATGCTCGCACGACTGGAAAGTCGGCCCTAATAGGGGAAAAAAAATCGCACAGTGTAAGCCCGGCTTTACCACTGACTTTGTGCAGTAAATGACACGCCCCCTTTTTAATTTGTGCATTTTCCATTTGTAAATACAATAATATGTCCTTGTGACTTTACAACCAAGTCCATTCTCCCTCCCTGGACAGCAATTGGTTTAACATACTAAATGGCCACCTTGCGTAATGATTGCAGTGAAAGTGGCTGTTTCAAAATATGAATGTGTGGACACGTTATATCTATGTTTTAAAACATAAATGAGAAATACATGGTTATTGTATCCAACAGCAATAGACCTTCCCCAGACATGGATATACTTTAGTATATTCTGCTGTAAAATTTGTCTTATCGGGCTACCTTGACTTACCTTGAGAATCCGCTTAAGTACCTTTTTTTGGTATCCATCATCGCTAACACATTGTACGTAATGGTTATGGTTTTAATCTACGCTGTGGATTACCCATAATTCCAAGTCGTAGTGTAAAAAATAAAATATTCAAATACATCGTTATTTTAAGATCTTTATTACGGTTTGAAACATATTATATGAGTGTATTTTTACCAACCGTCTACTGAACTATACACAGTTATTAACATGGTAATTAAAAGTACCACTGTCTGCTTTGCTATTGGTGTCGTGTTTAAATGGTTCACCATCATGGTGAAATCTACCATGTGTTGGGGTAAAAATAAGGTCCGGTCTGTCATCTTAGTGTCAGGTGGGTTTTAGTGGATTTCTTTGCACCATTACATTTGCAAACAGATGTCCTAGTCCACAATTGCATAGGGGGCCCTCCAGGTGTCAGCGGCGGGGCACCTAAGAGGCCGGGGGCCCCTAAGCAACTGCAGTCTATGCTTACTGATAGTTACGCCATTGATTGTATCTATTATCATTAGTACCTAAGCAAATCCCAATTTTTTCCTGGTTTATCATCATGGCTCTCTTATACCCTTTCAAATTTTTGTCTGTTTTAAACAAAAGTTATCTTTTCTTTGTGGTGATAAGGAATGTGGATGGCGAAGATGAGCCATTGATATTCTTTAATCTAAAAAAAACCCATTCCAGTGTGGATGAACTGGTGTTTTACTGTCATTTCATTGTTACTTGTTATTTGTTACTAGAAGGGATAAAAACAAAACAAAACAAAAAATCTAAAAAAAAAAAAAAGATATTTTCAGTCTCTAAAACAAGGGTTGAACTTGAAAGTTGAGCATTTAAAGGAACCATTCATTCACTCTCAACCCTCCACTTGTGAGAAGTCATGCCACCACCCGTGAAACTCAAAACCGTGGAATGGAAGGAAATAGAGGCGGTGCGTCTCCGCCCTGATTAAAATGAAAAAAGAAAGCAAAAAAAAAAAGCTCTCCAAGAAGAGGAATGCGCTGTAGTTTGATTACCTCGCTACCAAGGAGCCCGCAGCCTCTCTGCTTGTTGTGACCCAGGAGTTAAAGGCATCCTTATGAAAGACAAAACGGCCGCTTTGACCTGTAAGTATAGAAAGCAGGAACTTGGAGAAATCACCTCTAAACATTCCGCAGCCTCTATATTTTCTATTTTAACCCCTTCTCACTCTCCGATAAAGTATTTATCAGCTGCCACACCACTTTCTGCACCTTGAATTTGAGAGTAAAAGTTCAGGGAGTCATAAAATGATTTATGATGCTGTTATCTATGGAAACTCCTCGCTGATAGGGAGTCCCGTAGCTATAAGAGCTCCAGCAGCCTCACAGCTCTGTCTGGCGACTTGTTGAACTCTGGAGCTGCAGCAGGAATATGAAAACTCCATCAGAGCTTAAAGGTTTGTTTGCGTTTTAATGTGGGACCCTTATACTCCAAGTTAGTAGGCATAGTCAGGACTAAGTTTATTACAACTGTTCGTTATTGTTATGTAAAGCTGAGAAGCGCGGTGTTGGTGCGTCCTCTGCGTCTTTATCCATTTTACGCACAGTCAGTGGTATGTTCTGTGGGAATGAGTTTGCCTTTCACAGGTTGTATCCTCTTACATACATTCCATTTATATATCCACAGAGGGGTGTAAGATAAACTTGTATCTGGTGCTTTATATAACTGTTATTTACTTGATGCAAAGCTGCGTTTTCCCATTTTATTCATATTCTAATCGGACGCTTTAAGAACTGTGGATCTTTTCTGAGAGGACTCTGTTGCGGATTGTTTCCTCTTGCTTTTTGGACTAGAGGTGTTCAGCAGTTTCTCACTCTGTACTTTTCCACTTACAGCGGCCTTTCTTGGCATGTAGCCTCCCCTCCTTCCCCCTTTTGTGGCTCTGCGTCACTCCCTAGCTTTAAAGAGCCAGCATAGAAAACCTATGAGATATTTCTTCTAGTATTACAGTCAAACATGTATTAATCTATTTTCTCAGCCTGTTTCTATAGCGGAAAGGTAACAGAAAGAAAACAAACCAATGTTTAAAATGTTGCAAAAAACAAAGTCTCTCAGAGACTTTAAGTTATTGGAGTTTTATTTTTTTTTACTTTTAGTAGACTAGTTGCAAAATCAGGGTAGTCATGGAATTGCACAAGCATATGTGCAAGCAGAAATGTTCCAGTGAGCTGAGAAGTTTTTTTCATTAAACTTCTCTGACGCAAACGAGGCGTTTGGAGCGCAGCTGCCCTCTATTGGCCTAACTGGGATCGATCACCTCTCTATATTTACCAAAGCGGAATGTTTCCATAGAGTCGCCCCCCTTTAGGAGGCGTTGCCAGCTCCTCCCTCTTTAGGACTCTTTATAAAAAGAGCTGGAAGTGTTGAATGTCAAATTGGATTCGTCTTTTAAGCAGGGTGGTACGGATCCTGAACTCAACATGACGATCAAAACAGAAACAGAGAAGCCTGCTCTTACTTATTCAAAGACTAGGGGCCTTGTGGAATTAGTCACTGGTATGGATTTGATTTGACGAGATGAAATGTTTCATTCCCTCAGCTGTCTTATTCTTGGAGCCTTTTTTAAATGTATTTTCTTTCTTTTTATTGTTGTTTTGCAGCTTTTATGAAACAGAGGAGGATGGGTCTAAATGACTTTATTCAGAAGCTGTCCACAAACTCCTACGCCTGCAAGCAGTGAGTACTTTCTGACTCATATTATTGTTCTTCCTCCACCACAGGACACATTGTTTGGGAAACCCAAAGCTATAAAAGCAAGACTTTTTTTCCCTGCTGGGGACTTTCTAAAACTAACTTTTTTTTAAATCAGCTGATGTTGTTTCATTTCATACAGCTTAATACTTTTTTTTTTCTTCCAGTCCTGAGGTGCAGTCTATCCTGAATTTGACTCCTCCACAGGATCCTGAGCTCATGAATTCAAACCCCTCTCCTCCTGTGAGTACACTTAGCAAATCTTAGCCTTTTTGTTTCCAGGGCTGCTTATACATATTCTCTGCTTAACCCATTCTGATACTTAACTTCCCTATTTTTTGCATCTGCACCCTGACAGCCCAGTCCATCCCAGCAGATCAACCTTGGGCCATCATCTAACCCCTCAGCTAAGCCAAGTGACTTCCACTTCCTGAAAGTTATTGGAAAGGGCAGCTTTGGCAAGGTGCTTCTCGCCCGTCACCGCACAGATGACCAGTTTTACGCAGTCAAGGTGTTACAGAAGAAGGCTATTCTCAAAAAGAAGGAGGTATGTGACGAAATGCCTGTATCTAGAAATACACACACATAAACAGACCAGTACGTCACAAGGCGTGTTTATGGTAAACCAGTCTAACCCTGCAATGTTTTTTTTTTTTTTTGGTTTCAGGAGAAACACATCATGTCAGAGAGGAATGTACTGCTAAAGAATGTCAAACATCCATTTTTAGTGGGTCTGCATTTTTCCTTCCAAACTGCAGACAAACTCTACTTCGTCTTGGACTACATCAACGGAGGAGAGGTGAGGTGTTTTGCTTAACTGTACCCTGAACTTAAAACTGGAAAGAAAGATGATTGAGAAGAAAAATACAACACAGCTAAAATAATCTGTTAGAGTTTTAACTACAAAAATATGTCTATGTGCATTTTATTTGCGATTCATATTGAATTATTTCGAAGTATAGTTAAAATGCTAACAGCTTAATTAAAGGTCAGTTAAATACTTGTCAATATTTCAAATGCTCTTATTCAGCTGCATTTCTTATGCTAATAATCCAGTTTAAAAACATCCCCCCCCCCAAAAAAAAACAAGCTTGTGTTTAAATCATAAAAAATATTGAAATAATAGCCTTTGTTAACTTTTCCACAATGGTTAAATATTCCCATTCATTAGGAACCCAGCTCGGTAGCAGGCTTTGCATTTGTCTTAGCTCTATAATAAGATTAAAACCTGGACACAGACGTAAGTTCTTACTTGAAAAGAAGCATTTTACTAAAATGTTTTTTTTTTTTTACTCTTAATACCACGTTTTAACATATTAGCTTTATGGAACATTGCTGAAATCTAAAAAGGACTAAAAAAATGGCTAATACTTGACTGAAATAACTTCTAAAGTTAGTTATAGTTAACGATAAAATAATTAAAGGAAGGACAGGGTGCTTTTGGTGTCTGCCTGAGTGCAGATAATATAAAACGCATCAGAGCTTATAGATCACAATGAAACAAGCTAACGTGTTAGAGGTGAATGCTTTTAGAGAATGAGTCAATGATTTTCTCCCAGCTTAGACGGAGGGGAAATCCTGTCTTGAGAGGCAGATTATTAGTTTTTTTACTGGGGGGGAAATCACCGTTTAGGAAACCATGGGGTGGGCTCTGACGGCAGGGGAGCGACTGAGCTCCAAAATTAGCAGCGCAGCGGAGTCTCTTATGTGTCTAATCGAGCTAATTTCCTGCTATTGTTGCACGAGCAAAGACAGTGCTGATTAAATATGAAACTCATCAGGAAGTGGAGCACATTTACTCTTTTATTTCTCCTTTCTTCTCCTCCATCCTGTTGCTCTCTCTTTCTCTCCACCTTTGGCTCTCGTTTCATCTGTCTTCTCTTGTCAAACTTTTTTAAGCGAGTCGCCTTCCTGCCTTTTTATTTCCTCCCATCCGGTTTCCCCTCTTAGCTCTGTCTTTTTAATATTCTTTTTTTTTTCATACTAATTTCCTGCCCCAAACCCCCCTTTATATATAGTTTACAATTTCAGGAAAGAAAATATTTAATATATAATCTTTTTCTTTTTTGTTTTCTTTTATTGCAGCTGTTCTACCACCTCCAAAGAGAGCGCTGCTTCCTGGAGCCCAGAGCTAGGTTTTACGCTGCAGAGATCGCCAGCGCACTGGGGTACCTGCACTCCCTCAACATCGTCTACAGAGACCTAAAGCCAGAGAACATCCTGCTGGACTCACAGGGCCACATAATCCTCACAGATTTTGGCCTCTGCAAGGAGAATATCGAACCCAATGGGACTACGTCGACGTTCTGTGGTACGCCAGAGGTAAGGAGACAGTGTTTTGTTATTTGTGATTATTTTCCCACTTTGCCAAAATTTTAAGTTTAATGATTTCCCCCCCCCCCCCCCCCATCCTTTATAGTATTTGGCTCCTGAGGTGCTACACAAGCAACCATACGACAGGACAGTAGACTGGTGGTGCTTGGGAGCTGTTCTATATGAAATGCTGTATGGCCTGGTATGTAGCACATAATAATTAACATAAAAAGTCTAAACCTACTCCTTTAAGAAATACATTCATGATGCATTAAGCAAAACTCCTCTGTGTTGAAAATGTCCATCTTTTTATCTCCGCAGCCTCCGTTCTACAGCCGAAACACAGCAGAAATGTACGACAACATCCTAAACAAGCCTCTTCAACTGAAACCCAACATCTCCAATTCAGCCAGACAGCTTTTGGAGGGGCTGCTACAAAAAGACCGCACCAAGAGATTGGGCTGCACAGAGGACTTTGTGAGTGTTTATCTGTTTGTTTTGCTGTCTTATGTGCTGATGCATGCTGATTGTCAATGTTGAACTAATCTTTTGTGTGCATTTTCCTCAGATTGAAATCAAGAAACACATGTTTTTCTCTCCTATCAACTGGGATGACCTCAACGCCAAGAAGATAACGCCTCCCTTTAACCCTAATGTGGTAAGTTTCTTAAAATGCTTTAACATCTGTTCAGCAGACATTTTTTGGCATAGATCCACTACTGGAATCAACTGTTCATATATTTTTAAAGTTCTTTAAATTTAATAACAGAGGAAGTTTCAGGTCAGATTTTATTTTCTGGTGTTATAAAGCACAGTAACAATTGTAATTTGATTTTAGAAAATGCAGAAAGTTAAGCTGTGAAGCTAAAGGAGCCCAGCCTTTCGTACTTATTCAAGTTATAGTAAAATTGGCAGGTCGAAAGCTTTTCTGACAAGCTGTTCCTAAATGAATTAATTTTGTGGTAATACCTTGAAGCCATCATTGTTAACTGACCCATGCATAGTCACCTTATTTACTCCCTTATTTGTGCTTGCATAACAAGATCAAAACCATGCAACATCTGCTCTGTGATCTTGAGCATGTCCAATTAAGGCGAGGTGCTGGAAAGCAACACTAATCCCCTCTGTTTCTCTCTCTCTCCTGCAGACGGGACCTAATGACCTGCGGCACTTTGATCCAGAGTTCACGGATGAGCCGGTTCCCAACTCTATCGGCTGCTCCCCAGACTGCGCCCTCTCCACTGCCAGCATAAAAGAGGCAGCTGAGGCCTTTGTGGGCTTTTCTTATGCCCCTTCCATGGACTCCTACCTATAGGATTCAAATGGAATCCAGTACGGACACTAGTTTTCACTCACTGGACATAGATTCACTGTGTCATGTTGTGGACTTGACTTGCATCTTGACCTCCACCTATTGTTTCCCATCAGATTGATGGTTTACTCCCAAACCAAGCCCCGTGATGCACTTCAGCAGCATGATGACTTATCATATTCGCTCTAAAACTTGAGTGTTTTCTTTTTTTAAACACTTGCACAGAGGGGATATCTGCTGTAATTAACTGGTTGGGATTAGTTTTCTCCTCCATTCCTGAATCCCCTTTTAGTCTTAAATTCCCATCACAAACTGGTTGGTGGAGGATTTTTGCACATAGCTCAGGCAGCTTAACGGCTTCCTATATGTCCCAACTGACAAGCACACAAACAAAATGTCCACTCTTTTTAAAAAAAAAAGGAATAACAACAAGCAAAATAATAAAAACCAAACCTGGAATAGGTTTTCATTCCATGGAGTGAAACATCTTCCCTCCAATTACCCAGGGGGAGCTACTTTATCTAGCCTTGCCAGAGATGTTATACATTTTTGGTACTTTTTTTTTTTTCATTAAAAAGGGAGTCAGAAGAAGCTGAATGTTACAGAGAAGGAGTTTAATTTCTCTTGGAGGTGTTTTTTTTTTCTTTCTTACCTCTCCATCAGATTCCAAATCATTTGGGGTTGTTTTTTTTTCTTTGTGGACATTGCAGTTTCGTAGACCTAAATCAGGTGAACTGGGATGATTTATCATCATTTACTGAATATTGTATATTTTTTCTGTAAGCATTAAAGTGTAGCACTAAGTTCAAACTTAGCGGGACTCAAACGATGCATCATACCTTCATTTGCACATTACCACTGATGGAGACGCTGAAAGACTGCACTACTGCTGGGTTCAGAATGAACGGCATGAGTCGAGAAGTATTCCTGTACTTTTAGCTTGCCATCCTCCCTCATTAGTCTTCCAAATTGCCTCACACTGATGTAACAAAAGCCTGCAGACAGGCTCAAACATTTAAAATGGAACATTCCACTTTAATATTGCTGTTATGCATTTTTGACGGTATTTAAATTTCTTGTATATTTGAAGTCATGTGTACTAGTTTTAATGTATATGGAACAAAAAAGTGACTAAAGGTATGCTATAATATGTATATGTAACTATTCATGTTTAATGTACTGTAAATTGTAAAATTGTTTATGTGACCATGTTTGGTTTGGAATAAAAGTTTAACTTTATTACACATAAACTGGTTTCTAGATTGATTAAAAAATGTTATCTGAATGCTGGTGGTGAATTTCCACTAAATCGCCAATCTAAGTGTTTAATTAAAGTTACTGAGTAAACTAAGGTATGTAAGGAATGAGGAGTAAAGGGTATTTGCTTTTTTTAGGAGTTACTTAAGCTTCTGCCTGATGTCCCAGATTACAGTGGACTTTGTCCCCCTTCATACGACAGCAGCCTTACGCAACAATAAGAGTCCCGTGTAATACCTTGGAGCGTCAAGTTCACCCTGCTGAGCACAAGGCGTTTGCTGTCCATGAAGGAGAACAAACTCTCTGCATATTTAACTTTAGAGGTCAAAGCGCAAGTGTTAAGCTTAAATGTCCCCCTGTTAGACCTCAGAGCTCACAAACCTGCTTATTCCTGCCTGTTTGTTGGAGCTCCTGATTGGGTAAAAGGCCAGAGCACTCCCTGAATATAGGTAACTAGTTCACAGTGTCATGTCTGTGTCATTGTTTGGTAATAAACCCCTAAGAGATTTCAGTTAGGTTGGAGTTCTACACAACATATTCAAAGTCAGTTGAAATAACTATGTAGATCATAATTTAAAGTGCCCTTAAAGGGTATTCATGTCCTGTTAACTTATTTCTATTTGTTCACATAAGAACCACAAACGTCGAGTTAACATTACTGGGTTTTCCGATGATAAACTGACACATAGTAGAACAAAAGTGTGAAGAGAAATTTTGAAAATGCATTTGTAATCAGCTCCCCTGAGTCTCTTGAACCAACTTTCGTTTTAATTACAGATGTACTCCGTGTCAGTACCAGTTTATTTAGTCTATTTAAAATAAAACGGGTCTAGACCAGTCAGTTTAAACAAACACTGTCTGGACACCAAAGGTTTTGGTCTCATCCCACCAGAATAAAATTTTCCACAGGGTTGCTTTAACCCCTATATGAATTGTGGACAACTAGTAAACAGATTCTCTCACTGCCTTCTTTTTTAAATTATGGCTCTCCTTTCATGGCTTGTTAGTAGTGGATATGGTTTAAAAAAATTCACCCAACTCCTCCATGTCTTCCCTGACCTTTGAGACACATTTCTTCCCTCATGTGATAAATTTTAATCACTAATGATCACATTCATGTTTAAACAGTGTATTAAATGGACCCTGTCTACTTATTTGTGTTGCGCTGGATTTATTTTTAAAGAGACTTAATATCTTTATATTCATTCCTAAAGCAAAATAACTTTTAATTTCTACTTCACTATTATGCTCTATTTTTTGTTGGTCTGCTATTAGAAAAAAGGAAATTACCCATAAATTCATTTTTGTATCAAAATAAAGCTGAGGGGTATAAATAAATGGAATTTGAATGAATGAATGAAATTCATTTCAGAAAATTAACAAATAATAAAAAATAACAATCGATAAATCAATTTCAGAAAATATAAAATAATATATGAAATAAATTACATTTTCAGTTCCAAATGCATTTAATTCGTTTGAACCTATACAGAAGCTAATAAAATAAACACAATCTCCCACTTAATGAACATGCCAGTATATGTAGCCTGAGATCTAACATTGATTAATGATTTGTTTATGAATATTAATTAATGCTTATTGTCTGAAAAGGGATATGAAGATTAAAACTTATTTGATATATCTCTTCTTCCTTTAATTGCATTTAAAGTAACTTAATTAACCTTACTTTTTAACTATAATATACTAAGAGTACATTTGCAAGGCAGCAAATGACATAAGGGTTAAACACCCCCAGGTTCCTTAAGTCCATATGTATAAGAAGAAATAAAAGAAAAACAGCACAGCAGACACTTTTTTCACTATTGTTTTTATTACATCTTTTTAAGATGCATCAACGACGCTCTTGTAATACAGCCTGTGATATACTGCCCTCTGCTGGATAAGATAAAAATGAGCCACATAAACCTTCAGAAAATTCTCCAGAAGAGACTGAACTTGAATATGGATCTAAGCAGTAGTTTGTTTCATAAAACCCTGTGTATGTCTAGATTAATAGCAAGACATTTTAGAGGTGCTTAAAAAAACTACACTGCAGATTTTTACCTACCTATTGTGGTAGCTGTATGGCCCCAAAATGACCTCCTCAAGTAAGTTGTTTTTAATTATGATAGTTAACTCCTTACAAGAAGCTACTTAGGCATTCCTTTTTGTTTTCTTTGACAGGATTAAAAACAATGTTATAACACTATTTTATAGCCAGATCCAAGATTTTTAGGGATAACATCAAAATGCTGGAAGTCAAGATAACTTCCTTGAATCAGTTTAGGATTCAGTTTAGTAAATTAAAAACTCAAGGATATGGTTAGTGAAAACAAATCTGAAGTTTTGGCGGAATATTACAAACACAATAGATAACTATAATGAACTGGAGAAAAACAGGTAGAGAGCAAGGGTCAAAATGCTGCAGGCAAGGTGGCAGATGGGTGGAAAGTTACAACCCTGGAAAATTTGCTGAGTTAATTGTAGTCAACTCAAGCTGAGCTCAGCGCCATAAAGTGAACTCAAAATAAAAAAGAGATTATAGAACAGGAAGGTACTCCTTAGAAGTTTAGGAGCAAACCAGGTTTACTCTAATTAATCATACTGATAAACTCAACACATGATGAAGGTTTGTTGATCCAGAGCTTTGCTAATGTCCTCTATCCTGCTTTACAATTGTTTAAAACTTTTTCATTGGGACTGTGACTGTAAATATGGGTGAATTTAGCCTGAATTTAGCCCATTCCTGGCATGGATGCTGCACCGCTCTCCTGGTTTTCCCATTTAGAGCAATGGTTTACTGATATGGGCATAAAGTCATATGAAAACAGGAAGCCACTCACTAAACATGTCTCAATTTCAAAGTACTTAATGTATATCTATTATCTTTAAATGTTAGAGTTTCAATTGATAAAAGGCTTTTCCTGAAAAACAACACACATTTCCCAAAATATTGTATACTGTTTCATTAAAATAGGATACATTTGAAAATTTTTGACAAAAGTAGAATATCCCAGTTAAAATTTGCACACATTGATTAAAATTAGCACACAAGAGTAGTTTGTTCAAATGAGAAAAAAAAGTGTGCAGTGTGCAACAATTTTGGGAGCAGTGTCATGTGTCAATGTGTCTAATCTTTTGACGACAGAATGCTGTTTTTACAGAAATGTGTGCAGTCAGTTGGAGAATGCATGTACAGTAGACAATGGGAATTTATGCATATGAGACAAAGTTCCATTATGATAAGAAAAGCGGCTTTGGCATTGTCTTTTTTTCTCCCCCGACTGAAGAAATATTCATAAACTTAAGTTATATTCATGAATAAAAACTTATTACTTATTATTTTAATTTTTTTTTTTTTTACAAATTCACCTGGAATGCAATTGTCACACCTAAACACTTTATAGGGCAAGTTACTGTTTTTGAGCACTTGCATACCCTTACAAATGGAGTCCATCCATCCCTCAGTGAAGTCTAGAAGCACAAGATCTATATCCAGCCATTTAGCTAAAATGCTGCTACATGGCTGTACATCTTATTTTGGCATTAAAAAAAATTAGATGAGCCCTTGAATGATTTATTACTTACTGTAAATTAAGTAGAAAAAAAAGTTAACAAGTCAAGAAAAAAAAGGTGGAATAAAAGAAGAAATCTACATTATGAAAAAAACTGACAACATTTGAGATTTCAGCAAACCAAAAAGTGGAAGAACAGTGGATGAAATAGACAACATTCAAGACAAAAGACAGCAACAAAAAATAAAGAACTAGATAAAACCAGATGGGACAAAGGTGAAATAGAGAAATGGCTCCCAAGAAAAGGTTTTATGTTATGTTATATTGAATGTGAAGTGTTTCTGCACATTGTGTATGTAAACAACTGTGAAAAATACTAATAAACACTTTAACATAAAAAAAAAAAAAGTTAATAACCCCAGTTAACAATTATATTTAGGTTTTATAAATTAAAAAAATTAAGTGCCAGTATCAGCATTAATACCTCTAAGGTTATGTTGTGCCAAAAAAAAAAAATGTGTTTCTTTCACTCTCAGGGTGTTTTTCATGAATTTCTTATAGAAGCACTTTTGTTATTTTTCTTAATAGATTCAGGCAAGTTGACGTTTCTTGTTTTTACATTGACATTCATTTTTGCCATCAAAATATCCATATTTTTTAAGCTTTTGTCCTGGATTCCAATAACACTATTGGCTTGAAATTTTATTAAGTATTGCACTGAGTGCCCTATAAAGGGTTTAAACTAATTTCAAAAGTAAAACAGTAACACAAAAAGAAATAACACAAAAGGAATCCACAGTTCCAGGCAAACTTCCAGCAAAGAAATTGTAAAAAAAGGATGTACAGTATAAAGGGGTCCTAATGTTTAAACCTTGTTTTTCATACACATTCAAGAAAAATTACAGAACTTCTACTTAGATGTGCTTTAAATAGAGGATCCCAACAATGTAATTTCTGAATATTCAGACCTAGTAATAAGTAGTTATAAAAATAAATAGATTTTTTTTGGCTATGTCAATGATAATAACCTCTGCACACTGCAAATAAAAGAAAATAAAAGAATACTAAATACTTTCAGTAGGTGTGTTGTATCCACAATGCCTTTTAACTATTAGAATTAGAAATGTTACTCTCTTCAAATATTTGTATTATTATTTTATCATACTATATAATATTTTATTATTATTACATTATCAAAGTTTTTAACAGGGAATTTCCCCATTCCCTTCAAAGAAAGATGATTAATCTCCTCACACACGTTATAACATAAAGAGGAGGTACAGTAAGTCTGCCCTCTCACAGTCCCTTACAGCCCAAAGAGACTCCAAATCTAGTTGGGGTCCAACTGAACATTAAAAAAAAATCGTAAAATAACAAATACATATAAGATTCTTTAATAGAACATCCACTATCTTGGTCCAAAAAGTTATGTTAAAGATGATAAAAAAAAGAATCTTGTTTACAATCAAACA